CAGAAATATAATCAACATTTAGTTACACCTGGAGTAAATTCACAAGCTACCCTGCAGTATACAAAGTCATTAAAACTAGCTGCACCTTTACCAGCTTTGAGAACACCTTAATGCAGGGGTCCCCAAACTTTTTCCTGTGAGGGCCACATAACTTTTCCCTTCTCTGATGGGGGCCGGGTCAGTTTGTAACAGAAAAAGTGTGACGATCGCATGGGTGTCTAAACGTAAACATTTATTGTTTTCTAGAAAGCCACACATAACCAAATATTAATAACCCTTTCCGGGATCTTCACAGAAAAAAAGTCAGGAAATAAATAATAACACTATTAATGAAATAAATAACACTATTTATGAAATAAATAATAACCAAATAACCCTCTCTGGGTTCTTCACAGAAAAAAAGTCCATTGAAAATTACTGTAACTTTCTGTTGTGCCGTGCACAATCTTAGCTTAGTTGTCAGAGCAGAATCTCTCAAAATAAACGTGGATTTACGTAAAAAAAACTATTTTTTCGGGGTTCGGGTGTTTTGTTTGATTTTAAACAAACAAAGTCTTGGCTTTCAGAATATTAAACTTGTTTCGGCAAATTCAGATGATAAATACAACTTTGAAGCTTCGGCATAATTACAAGCGGAGAACGGCAGGCATAACAACAGCCGGTGTTTCTCGTGAGTGTTTTCCCCGGGAAACAAACACAATACACACAAACGCAAAATTACACAAGCACACACACTCGCACACACACTCACACACACACACACACACACACACACACACACGTATACACACACACTCGCGAGCTTCCCCTCCAAACGAAAATATCTTCCCTCGGTAGTATTTTGATCATTTGCTCCGCTAATAATCAATCAGATCGATGGATTCCAGAGAAGAGACAACTTTGAAGGCCTTTTTCTCAAAATGATGACTCGGTGACAGTCATTATATAATGTGACATATTTCGCTTAATATTTGAAGTACAAAAACAATCCTGATATCATTAGAAAGCTGGAATATCCTCTTTCCAACAGTGTATACAACTCAAAAGGTGTCTTCGGGTCAATGCGACTGATTTCGATAGAGCAGGTCACAACATTTTGACAGGGGCTAGTCTAGGATTCGCGTGGCCAGACTGAAAAAAAATAAAATCATAATGCGTCTCTGGTATTGTTCAGGGGACCGGGCCAAATGTGGAGGCGGGCCGTACCCGGCCCGCGGGCCTTAGTTTGGGGACCACTGCCTTAATGCATCAATAATTATAATTGAATTTCACAGTTATTACAAACTTTGTGTGACATTTTATATATGATTTGACAATTGCTTAGTTTAAACAAGTTTAAGGTTCAAGAGAAAATAATAACTAAGTTATTGTGAAGTGTCCTTACACCTAAGATGGGTGGGTTGGGATGTATCTTGTGAAACATGGGACACAACAAACCCAGCCATTAAAATAGATATGAGCTATAGGCTTATGGGAAAAGCAAGGGGTGTACATAAAGTAACATTATGCCAAAACTCCACATTTGACCATACAGTACACCAAAACTGATATTTGACATAAAGAAACAACACTTGAGGCATTTGACTGTGTCAAAATCGAAAACAAAAAATGAGGGAGCACAAACGAGAGAGCTGCAGCGAGAGCAAAAGTCTGATCATTGAGAAAGAAGCAACAAGAACTGTAAACAAAAAATACTTATTGTTTACATGATTACACAAATGATTTGTTTGCAACTTATAGTTTTATTTTTGAAATGTATTTTATTTTGCTTGACTCAGTTTTTTTTCTTTTGAACTCATAGTTTTGCTTTATTCTGAGAAAGTGTTGCTTTATCTTTATGATACAAAATTAATCCCATAACTTTCACTATCCGACGTGTTTATGATGCGCCAGTGGACGTCATGAATGTGCGTCTGCTGCTGTGGGGAAACTATGGAAACTACAGTTTTCTATACAGCGGACTACAACATGGATGAACTCATCTAGAGACTCTACCGTGCTCTGATGCTGTTGCTTTATGAACGTGGACAACAGAGAAACATATTCTTCATGACCAAAGTTAAAATAAAAAAGGAAAGTGAAACGTATGCTCGTCACCCTCTCCCTCCGGTCCACATTTATACAAATGATCCCAATACGTATGATTGTATGAACTATGAAAATATCTTAAAATCAATACAAATGTATTTATTATAAACGTTAGTCCTTAACACCTATCACTGTGTATATCACCATTCAAACATGTTTTAAAAGTTGAACAAACCCCACACAGCTCAGTAAACACTGTGAAATGTTGACTTTATTTGAACGTTCATATTTCTCTTTTTGATTATAATACTGATGAACGTTCAAAACTAAGCACTTTGGCAAGTTACTGTTTTAAAATGCTTAATAAGCACCGTAACTTTCATGATATAATTTCTCGGTCATAATCGGTTGTTTCCGTGAACCATTCTGACTGTTGTGTGATGGCAAATGCTGCAGCCGCAAGGCATTGTGGGGCAGCATTTTCTCCTCTCCTTTCGGTAAGGGAGGTCCAGTGGTTCCTAAACTAAAGGAGGTTATAAAGGAAGTTTGAAACCTCCTTTCCTCCGCAGTGCTTCTCAAAATGTGGTCCGCGGACCACTGGTGGTCCGTGAGCGCCCCCTAGTGGTCCGTGAGTATATTGGTAACATTTCACATTTGAAATAAATAAATAAATGTAAGTTTTCCGTACTCTCGCGGGAATATCTCCGCAATGGAGCGAGCTTACGTTTCACTTTCGATTGCATGATATAGCCCAGATAAACACCTTCATCACACATGTGGCCACTTGTTTGTACCATTTTCGGGCGATTTGTAAAAAACGATGTGTTTTTGGATATTTGTGGAGTTAGGTGGTCCGCGAGTGTTTTTGTATTGGTTAAGTGGTCCTTGGTATGAAAAAGTTTGAGAAACACTGCTCTAGAGAATTCGAACAGCACTTATTATGGCTGTCACTGAGGGACTTCCGGGTCATTTCACTCCGTTAGGAAGGTTCCTAAGCTATCCAAATGGACCAATCCGCGGACTTCCTCACACAATCTTTTCTCAGCTGCAGCTCCGCGGAATTCTCAGCCTGAGACGGCGGGACGCGGCGAGGCTGTGAGTCTGTGCGTGAGCACACACACAGACTCACAGCCAGGCTGCGGTTGTGTGCTCGGGCTGGTTTCGGGCTGGGGTTTGCTGTCTCACCGACCCCACGCAGCAACCAGGAAACCACACCAGTAAGCAGTGTTGTGCTAGTTACTGAAAACCAGTAACTAGTTACCATTACTAGTTACTTCATTCCAAAAGTAACGCAGTTACTTTACTAGTTACTTACACACACAAAATAATGCGTTACTGTGAAAAGTAACGTTTTAGTTACTTAAAAAAACTCCAATGCAATAACAGTACTGAAATGAAGGCTATAAGGATAACCTTCATTTCAGTACTGTTATTGCATTGGAGAATAATACAATCTGTTGATCAACTTGACATGCATTATATGCAATCTGGATTGCATCGATATTAGCTGGCTTTCCATTTTTGTATATTCTTTCTCCAGGTAGTTGGAAAAAGTTTTTCCGTCCCATATGCCGTGTGCCGCCCGGACATGCTATCATGCTAACTAGCTCCCTGAAAGCGGGTGACTCCACTGTAGCAATAGCCTGCATGTGTTCTACAACATACCGTGCAATGGCTTTATCGACTTTTCCCTGGCTAGCAGTCCCTTGGTTAAAATCCAGCCGCTGTTGCTTAGGTGGAGGTGGAGTAGCGTCGGCTGAGTCACTGTGGTCTTAGCTAGGCTACTAGCTTCGTCCCAGCATGTTGTTTTTGTAGATGTTTTAAGAGATTTGAATTACTGGTTTGGGCAGTAGATAGGATCTTTGACCCGCCAAGACACAACTTACATTTAACTAAAACGTTATTTTCTTTGTGCTCGACAAAAGTGAAATAGTGAGAATATCTCCAGGTGGAGAAACTAGACTTGAGCTCCGCCGCCGCCATGATAGTCTTGTTAGTAAACAACACAAACACGCCCACAGCCCGTCTCCGCATGTGACACAGGAAGTATCTAAGTACATTTACTCAAGTACTGTACTTAAGTACAGTTCTCATCTCTGTTCGCCTGGCTGTTGACTATATACAAAAAACTAACGGAGTAACGCACCACGTAGTAACGGTAACTGAGTTACTGAATTTAAAAAGTAATGCGTTAGAGTACTGTAAGTAAAATGCTTAATAAGCACTGTAACTTTCATGATATCATTTCTCGTTCATAATCGGTTGTTTCCGTGAACGGCCGACTGTTGTGTGATGGCAAATGCTGCAGCCGCAAGGCCTCTCCTTTCGGTAAGGGAGGTCCAGTGGTTCCTAAGCTAAAGGAGGTTATAAAGGAAGTTTGAAACCTCCTTTCCTCTAGAGAATTCGAACAGCACTTATCATGGCTGCCACTGAGGGACTTCCGGGTCATTTCACTCCGTTAGGAAGGTTCCTAAGCTATCCAAATGGACCAATCCGCGGACTTCCTCACACAATCTTTTCTTAGCTGCAGCTCCGCGGAATTCTCAGCCTGAGACGGCGGGACGCGGCGAGGCTGTGAGTCTGTGAGTCTGTGCGTGAGCACACACAGACTCACAGCCAGGCTGTCATTACTGGAGTCATTTTCTGGTTGCTAACGCCATTGTAACACATAATCACTGATGTCCAGCTGTAACGGTGTAATTCATCAGAACCACAGGGGGGGGCAGAGTGAATACACATACTATACAGAGATGCTGTATGAGAAACCAATGTGAGTTTGGAACATTGCACAATGTAAATCTATTCTAGTAGACCTCAACAATGGAATTATAATCAATAGAAATGGCCATGTCATGGGACCTTTAAATCCATGATTCAGTTATTTTTCAGAAAAATGAAATCCTCGCTGATACCTTTGATTAAAAGCACCCAACCCATGCTCGTTTTGCAAAAGATGTATGTTCTGTAAGAAGTCAAGTAGTGTCCAACAATATGTCAGTTAGTCAGTACGTAATAGTCCACAAAACTAAAACGAGCTGAAATTTGTTTTAATTTGAAGGCCTCTATGGCACACATCCGGTATGATTTCTCTGTGATTTAACCCGTTTGTTGGATTTGTTGAAGTGCTGCTTCCGTGCAGATCACATGACAGTCTGCACGCGGAAGCGGTAGCAGCATGGAGCCCACAGCGAGCAAAGAGCCGGGTCCCGTCAGAGAGCGCCGTGCCTGCCTTACAGAGGCCTATACGTGTTTGCGGAGGGGATCATGTCCCAGCCAAAGGGCTCACGACGTGGCCTCTGCGATATTTGTCGGGGTGTGTGGAGGGGTCTCCAGCGGGGACAGAGAGAGTTGTCCTCCAGAGAACCACAGTGACCCCACCGTGGAGCTGAGCTGCATCAGTATGTCTCTGCTGGAGAAGATCAGCTCCGCGCTGATGTCTGGGAGCCTGCCACCAGCAGCCACCTTATATCACGCCGAGGTCCTGACGGGGTTACAAGACATGGATCTCATGTTACAACTTGTAAGTGGGCTTCCTAAAACACACATACATTTTAAAGATCGTAGAAAATGAACATGGGCGGCGACAGGATTGTTTCACTGCAGTAGCTTAGTAGTTGCTATGACAGCATGGTGTTGCTAGTAAATGTTCTGTGCACATGTGATAACTGATATAACTGCTAACTTGAACACACTACAATATTATAATATTCAACACAACAGAAATAGCGTCAAGGGATAGTCCAAATGTCCCGTAGCCTCTCTTAACACCCTCGGACTCTGCGTTGTGTTTCGTATGTGTGATGGGGTGTTATGCAGAGGGGAAGAAAACAGGACACAGCAGATTGGGTTTGTGGTGGAGACGCTGAGCGGTGATTTATTTGTTCCATGTAAACATTATACATTAGTTACATGCTAACCAATAAAAACCACAAAATTAACAGACAAAACATAAACATCTCACTCCCAAACATACCCAAACTGGTAAATAAACATTTAAACTAACCCAGTTGTCACAGAAATGGAATGTTTGGACGTTTTTTACGTTATAATATGTAAAATGATTTGCCACAATTAAATACTGCTCACCCGGCATGAGTGAATGTAAACATTACAACCAAGATGCAGAAAAGCGGGGGAACTACAGTGTCCCACAATGGCCAAAAAACAACAATTTACTGCGCAACAGCAACACCTAGTGGCCTGTCAAGACTGCTACCATACATACATAATGGCGATCGTTCACTATTTCAACTGGCATGCTGTGGCATTTAATCTCCCCACCACACCCCACACAGTTATTGTACTTTTTACTCCACTACATTTATTTAACACTCCTATTTACTTGTTCACTGTAAAAATGGATTATATAATTACATGGTATGATTACTATTTTCTATTACTAATATTTCATGTATTTTAAGTAATTGAAAGTGGTTCTACATTGATAAACTACAACATTAATTAACCCTAAAATATATTGGTAATGAAAAACGAACATTATACATTCTTAAATAATGTAATACTGAACGGCTGTTATGCATGAAATACATTTTACTTAATTTAGCTATAATACTAATAATAATAATCCAGATAATACTTCTGTGCTTTCTACTTGAATTTATGTAAGGGATTGATTGCTGCCCACATGTTTTCCACAGTGATATTCTAAAAGACTTCTATTCTACAGATCCTTAATTTCCAATCCGATGACCAGATCATCTCACACCTAGCTGCAAAGAGCGTGTCAACATGTGTCTTCTATCAGCTCCACACATCTGTAAGTTCTCATTTGCGTTAATTTGCCCTTTATGCAATCTTGCCCCTTTCACACCAACACGGTTCCCGTTCTAGCTCCGTGCTATAGCTTTTTTTGTTCGGAACCAGTTTTTCTTTTCAGCCCCCGTTTTGTTCACACCGCCCAGAGCCCGACTGGTGCTGCTGCGGCCGAGTCAAGGCGACACCGTTTATGTCGCTGATTTTCTCCCCAACGGTGCCAGGTCGATGATCGTGTTGCTTTTAATCATAAGAAGCCAGATTCAATTAAATAACTACTTCTCAACCCTTCAGGGGCGGTTCTAGGAGGGGCAGGGGGGCCAGTACCCCCCTAACACTGACCTCTGGCCCCCCTAACAATGAAAACATTTTTTATTTTATTTTTTAAATGTATATTTTCTGGTACTCGGTTTGCCAAAAACCGCAGGATTTTGTTGCTGTAATGTGAGATTGTGCAGACACCCTTATGTAAAGTAGAGATGTAACTGTTCATTGCCTTTATTTTTATATAAATATGGTGTTAGTGCAAACATTGCACTATAACTTAAGCTGAAGCTAACAGTAATAACTATAACCCCCTAATCGCACCAGGAGCGTCTGCGCTGCGGCTGCGCCGCGCTGCGACCTCCTCCTGCGTCCTAACCCACCAGGCGCGTTTCAAAACGTTGCGGAAGCGGAGCGTCTTGTGTGCAGCCTCGCAGTTGTTGGATGAACATTCCACTTCCCGCTGCGCCGCGTCAAAAATAGGATTCATCCTATATTTTAGAAATTCCTTGAGCGCGGCGCAGCGTGTCTGGTGGAATAGCACCCATTGACTAGAGTGGCCGCGATCGCTAAAAACGCTGCAGCCGCAGCGCAATGCAGCGCAGACGCTCCTGGTGGGATTAGGGGGTAAGATCTATCTGAAATAAATAAGTGTACTGAAACAAATACCAATAACTGTATTGCATTGTTTTCTTATGCGCAATTACTTCATACTGTCTAGTTCTCTTTTTCGTCCTGCATTTATTGTGCCCCCCTCAGAAAATAACTGGTCACCCAGTGGCCCCCCCAGTCAAATTGGTCTAGAACCGCCACTGCAACCCTTATACTTTTCTCCAGAGTGCCGTAGTTCATTGTTTATTAATGTGTTTCAGCGGCATTTACCGACCACTGCAGTGCTGCCCGCTGTTTGGCATCACAACGTTGTTATGACAGTTTCTCTTGTATAAAATGGGTGATGTTAGCATAGCAACCAAAGCTAAACTGACTATCTTGACTACTTGTTGCTATCCTATTGTGGCATAAGCCGTTTTCTACAGGCACATTTTACCGGTGTATTTTTCATTATGATTCTACTTGTGATAGTCGGACATGACAACCTGTGCAGCCCATGTATTGATTCCATCTGATAGCTGCTATAATACAAAACAAAATGTCTGCCTGCTCTCCACAATGATCAATAACAGCGAACGGATGGTCAAAGTAAGGTACAAATAAACAATCAAACTAAGCCTGGTTAGTGTTGCCTGACTTTATAAAGTGTGTTTTTTTTAATAAGTGTGTGGTTGCGTTCTAGTCAATTTGGTCAGCGCTACTGCTTGTTACAACTTTAATTTGCTGTACTCGCCATAAACTGTTATTGCTCAGGTTGATGTAAATGTAAAGGAGTTAAAGACTTGCGAATAATATGGAAACGTAATTATTAATTAAGCCAAATTAATCACAGTTTGACCCAAACATCTTTCATTAATTCCAGTGCAGATTGCTAACCATTAAGGCCCTGACACACCTACCCGATTTTGGGAGTCAGAGGCAGTCGGGCATTCGCGGCGCCCTACTCAGGTTGGTGTGTCCCGCACCGTCGTTGCTTTACGGCACATTTTCACACCTCCCGCGGCCGATTCAACATGTTGAATCGCCCAAAGAAAGTCGGCCAAAGAAATCACTCTGATTGGCTGTTGCCTCTTTTGAATGATGAATACACACTACCGCTGCCTGCTCGTAAGGACAGTTATTTCCACTCGTCGACTGAAGTCTTTGTGGTGTGCTTGTAGGCGGGCGGCGTATCCGACGCAGCGGACGTAAAAGTCGGGACGCCTTCGGTACGCGTTCTTTGGTCTCAGGTTGGTGTGTAGCGGCATTGCAAATGAAAGGAGTGTGGAGGAACTTCCACAAGGAAGAAACAGGAGTGGGAGATAGTGGTCATGGTCATCACTGTAGGAACAAAGAGTGCTGGCAATATGATTAATAAAATATCAGCATTTGGGTAGCACATTATTAAAAGGGTCATCACAGCGTCTCTCTGTGCCTGTCGATACTTTAGTTAAGTGTCTGAAAATGTTCTGACTTTATGCCAATAATTCAGAAATCATCAAAAACTAAGCTGCCGATAAACATTTGTTTTTATCTCCCCCCAAAAGGTTCTTAGATTTGTATTGTGATCAAATTGACACCACTAGGTAAAAACATTGGTTTGAGTATTTCTCTGGGGATGCTTAATTTAAGGTTCAAATGCTTTATTGTCATATGTACAGCTACAGTGTAGATATGCAATGAAAAACTTAAGTCACAGGCTCCTCCGACAATGCAAAATAAATATATAAGACATAAAACAAATACAAAAACAATTAAAATATTGCAAGCTCAGGAGTTTAGCAGTCTTATGGCCTTTGGGATTAAATTGACCCTGAGTCTGGTGGTTTTTGTCCTGATGCTGCAGTACCGCCTGCCAGGCGGCAGTAGCAGTTTGTTTCTGGGGTGATGGGGGTCTTTTATAATCCAGAGGGCTTTCTTCCTGAGCCGCTGGGAGTAGAGGTCCTCCATGGATGGCAGCTCCGTCCTGGTGATGTGCTGTGCAGTTTCCACCACCCTGTGTTGATCTCACGGTTGAGGGCGGTGCAGCTGCCGTACCAGGCCGTGAGTCAGGATGCTCTCTATTAGGGATGCTCCGAGGCCGATCGCCAGAATCAGTATTGGCCGATACCGATCCGATCGGGTGGGCGGGGCCTATGGGGATCTTCCATTTAAAGTGATGTTTAAAACTCAGTTAATGAGGCTCATTTTTATATTGCTTCAGTTTATAATCGTAACGGATCGAAAAGTTCAGATACATTTTTCAATACATGATGGCTTCCACAAACAACAACCAACATAATTATTACATTCAAATGAAGTACATTATTCAAGTTTACATTAACTTTGGATAAGAACACGGGAGAAATTAGCGGAAGCGCTCTCTTTTCCTCCCTCCCTCTCCTGACAGCCTGTCAGTATCTCGTGCAGCTCACTGATCCAGTAATGAGTGACCCGACAGTGAAGAATAAATATATTTATGACTAGTTTAGCTTGTTCCAGAGGTAGATAGAATAGCTAAGTGTGTTAGGTCTAACTTTTAGTGTGTGTTTTGCTCCGCTCACCGGTCCGTCACAGCGGGTGGAGCTGCAGGATTTCTGCTTCACACACGACACGTTACATACCGATATTTTATTATCTTTTTCGGACACCTTAAAATACTGCCAGACCGGTGAAGCCATTTTAGCGAGTTTGTTTTGCCGCGCACAGAGAAAAGTATCATGTATTTTACGTCATGTGATCGGCTCTCCTGATCGGCATTTATAGAGAGCACCGATCGATCGGCAGAGAGTGAATATCGGCCGATAACGATCGGAGCATCCCTACTCTCTATGGTGAACCTGTAGAAGGTCAGGATCCTCTCTATGGTGCACCTGTAGGTCAGGATGCTCTCTATGGTGCACCTGTAGAAGGTCAGGATCCTCTCTATGGTGCACCTGTAGAAGGTCAGGATCCTCTCTATGGTGCACCTGTAGAAGGTCAGGATCCTCTCTATGGTGCACCTGTAGAAGGTCAGGATCCTCTCACCTGTACATTTAATGAAACTTTGTAAAAGTATATATAAAATGAAGCTCTCATACAATGGAAAAACTGTTTGGTTACGCTGGCAGTTCACTGTCCCCCGCAATCCCGAGCCTTTTTGGAAAATTATTAGAAATAATTTTCTCTGTACATGTCAGAACATTTAAATCAGCTTATTTGGTGGTGATTGTCATAGACAAATAATTAAAGTAAACAACAAAGTGTCAGTAAACACATGCAAAGAGTTGGCTTACAAATGTAGTCATTGCATTGGAGGTAAAAATGTCACGAGAAGTTATAGGTATAACTGTTAATAAAACCTGGAAATTAGCTGGTCAGTACTTTATTTGACCAATACTAGTTTCATAAAGTATCTAATATACTGTGCTTTATTCCCACATTATATGTTTATAATATATATATTTATTTTTTAGAGCACAGTCTGTCCTGTCTGGCAGCAGAAGTGTGTTCAGGCTTTTTACAGCTCGACCCCCAGCCCTGCTCTGGACAACTGTCTGTGGTCAATAACTGATGTCTTCAAAAGACTTCTTCAAGGAGGTCATCAAGGTAAGCAAGTGAGCTATAATATAGAATAGAAAGCATTTTTTGTCATTGTACACAATATACAACAAGCTTTGTCCATTCACACATTTATCTTAAGCCCCAGTGACAGCTGAACTAGGCTGATGTGTGAACGGCAGACTGCAGTGTTTCACACAAAATGTCATGAGGTTAAGGAAAGGTGTGAAGGAGAATACATCAGGACTTTAGAGAATCTGACTACACAGGGCTTATTACTGATGAGACGACTGATTGATGTTTACTGCCGTTGAAATCAACAATTTCCATACATGGACTTCTAAAAGGGCATCTCGTTACTATGCCTCGAGTTTTCTTATCGTATTGTTTCATTTGGGCTTTATAAAAGGAGACAGCAGTGAAACAGATGTTACTTTATTTGCAAGGTTTGAATTAAAGTGCACCTATCATGCTATTTTTAGGCAATAGCATAGGTCTCAGATATATAAAAATATATAAAAAAACATGTCTATGAAGTGTTTTGCTCAAAATACCAAACAGATCACCCATTCTAGCCATGCCTCATATCCCTCTATTTCATTTCCTGTTTCAAAAGGGCTGATTTGGGGTATAAAGCTTTAAAAAAAAAAAAAAGAATAAATAGATTTTTTTTTAAAGGAGGGGGCTGAGCTCATGCGGGACCCGGCAGCTACTGTCTAAACTAAATACTGCCGTGATGAAACGCCATATCATGGATTTTCAAGGATTGTTTCTGAAACAGTATGGAGCTCAAAGGCTTTCTCTCTTGCCGGTTATACCACAAGGTGAGTTCCTTTTTATTTCCTGCTTCTTCACACACATGCTCTCCAGTACAGGTTAGCTCTGAGTGTTGGCAATGTAAACATGCACCGACCATATTACGTCCAAAACAGTCGGGCATTGTTTCTGATAGCAACGTTTCTGATAGTGCTGTGGGTCCACATTTCAGATATTACGTCATATCGGACGCAAATCTGGATCAGCTCAGTTGTAGCCCAGTTTTTAGAGATTTGGGTACGGAGGAAAAGAGAGAGGGTTTTATTTTCTGACGCTGCGTGAGTTCCCTGGCACACCGGGGACACATCTTTATGTATATAAGACATCAAAAAGTGCATTTTGCATGATAGGTCCCCTTTAATAAAAAAATTAAAGTGAAAGGAAATGCTTTTTGCATTGACTGACTTGTATCCCAATTGGTATGATTTTATAGAACTCAATGCCATATATCCATTACTTGTTAGGCCCACACATCTACTACTGTGCATATCACTATTCATATCATATAACCAATAATAAGCGCAGCGTTCATAATTTGTCTTTTGGTTGATATATTATTGAAAGTTCAACACATACAACTTTTAGAAATGTTATGGCATTTATTTGAAAAATGCTTAATAAGCACCATTACTTACATGATCTGCATTTGTCGGACACGATTGTTTAAAAGGATGGTCCAGTATTTCTTGAAGGTCACCTATTATGCAAAATCCACTTCTTCATGTCTCTTCTACATAGGGCTGTGCAATTAATCGTATTTTAATCGCGATTACGATTATGGCTTGCGACGATTAGGAATACAGCATAATTGACAAAATACGATTATTTTGCTGGGTGCGCTTTCGCCCCTCCCTAAAAGCCCACTCGGCCACGTGGGAGTGACATGTGTTGTGAGTGTTCAGCGCAAGCGAAGATGTCAGAACAAGAGCAGCAACTAGTTAAAAAGAAGGGTCGCGGGGAGATTCCCAGTCGATCGCGAGATGTGTCTAAAAATAGAACAACAATATTCTGTTTTATCGTTAATGTCCTGTAACATAATGTTCCCGTGCCAGAATAATGCACTTGAACGCATCAAAGCTTTGTGATTGGCCGGCCTCACCCCATGTGTCCGGGCGTGGCTGGTGAGCAGTGCACTAGTTCGCTGACGTTGTCCGTGTCAACAGCATGGATGGTCAAAAGGAGTGACAGTCCGCACACACACAAGACCGCAATTATGGCAGAAGCAAAAAAGCCCAAAATATATAATTTTCACTCCAAGTGGGAGGATCATTATTTTTGTATCTATTCCAATTCAAAGTCCATCTGTCTCATCTGCAATGCGAGCGTGGCTTTATCGAAGAAGGGTAATTTAGGAGCGGCATTTCAAAACAGTGCACAAACGCTACGAGACGGAATTCCCTCCTAATTCTGCCCTACGCTCCAAAAGGGGAGGGGCCTGAGAGCACAGCTAAATGCACAGCAGTCCATTTTCGGCCCAACAACAAGAGCAAGGCTGCTACCAGAGCATCTTATCGAGTCAGGCACGTTCTTGCGAAACACATGAAGTCTTGCGAAGACGGCGAAGTTATGAAAGAAGCTTTCCTGGAGGCTGCGACGCGCTTTTGTGGGACAGTAAAAATAACAGCAGCATTTCAACAGGTTTTTGATATAATAAAAACTCAATTTAGATACCGTTATTAATCTGCTGTAAGTTTTAGTTTGTTTGAATTTATTCATGATAATTATTGTACAAAATGGTATAAGAATGCAAACATTAAGATCTGTTCTGTTTAAATTAATTATAGTCTATCAGTTCAGAAACTAGTGTTGCTTGCATCCTATTTTAAAGGCATTTCTTTTTATACTCTAATAAAATGCAACAAAAAATGGGTTTGATTCTATTAATGTTGTCTTTTTTATTGCACTGTTGCTGCAGCAGATTACTGTGTAGCTTCAGATCTGAGTTGTCTTATTAGTAAGCCTAATTTATACTTTTGTAGCAACACTATTTGTATTTAATGGCAAAGAAAGGGTTCTTCAGAGTCTTTTCTTTTTTTCCTGTGTCATATGTGGCAGCACTGCCACAAGTTCCTCTTCAGAGAGGGTCTTCAGTACAGGTGGCAATATTGTCACCTGCCTGCGCTCATCTCTGAAACCAGACCATGTAAACAGGCTGGTGTTTCTTGCAAAAAATCTTTAAGAGATGACATGAGCAGCCCTACCAGCATTTGCCATGGTGGCCTAAACATTTTTATTTGGTCTTAAATTGTAGTTCAACATGTATTTCCTGTTACTTCTGGACCATGACGGTTGGCCAGCCTTCAACGTTTAACTGAGTGGAATATGTTGAATATGTTTTACCAAAATGTTGGCTATATGTTAAGGAGTTTTCAGTAGGTTGTGACAGTGCACTGCAACATATTTGATTTCATTTATTTTGGTCTAATTTATTTTTATTTATCATATTAATATATGTTTAGTATGGTTTTGGAAGTGCGCTCCAACACATTTATTGATCTTGTTTATTGGTAAAATATTATTTGTTTTAACGTTCAATAAATGGTCAATGAATAATCGTCAAAATAATCGTGATATCAATTATTGACCAAATAATCGTGATTATGATTTTTGCCATAATCGCACAGCCCTACTTCTACATCAAGATGTGTCCCCTCTGTGGAAAGAGACTCTGAACGTTTCAGGAAAAAATATTTGCTGTCTTTTTGTCCTGATCCATTTCTATAAAAACCCTGTCTGAAAATGAGCCGATCAGATTTTGGCCACTTTATGATGTCATAATGACTTTGGCTTGTGTTACCATTAGCCAATCACCAACTTAGGTAAACCCCCCCTCCCCCCCACACCTTATCACATGAATCTCCTCCTTGAGCATCAATGAGTTCTTTTCAACCAAATATCCCTCAGTGGGGAGGGGCTCCTTATTTTCATCTAAAGTAACAGACAGAGAATCAGCACTTTGGAAATGGGGCTGAAACAGAGGGGATTATGGGATGCTGCAATGATCTGTTTGGTGTTTAGAGCCAAACACTTCAGAGACATGTTTTGTATATATCTGAGACCTATAATATATTGATGAAAAAGAGTATAATAGGGAACCTTTTAAGTTATGAGATAATAAAGGAAATGTTAGGGGGGGGGGGGAAGAAATGTCAAAAGAACCTGTGTTGCTTGTCATTTCCCACTTTCTTAATGATATATAATAAATACAGTCTTTAAACAAATCATAATGATATAAAGGCTTATATTCATCATTTTCGGTTAACACATAACAGACATTTTCTGACAGGGATCCCTTAATTCCTTTTTTTAAAAGTAGGTTGTGAGTGAGTCATTTTTCAATAAAGACGGCATCACTAAATACCTTCAAACATGTTTACTATGTTGGTGAACATAGCCACCAGCATCATGTTTGGTGCGTTCTGTATCTTCCGACACTCATGCACATGATGATCATGGCAGCATAACTGATCCATTATTAAAATAATCATCCAATATTGATTCTTTGCTAGCTAAGACCAACATTAGGTCAGAATAGAGCAGCCCAGGATGCTGGCAGTGTGATAGTTGCTGTGTTGCTGTGTCCAATCTGTATTTTTGATTGCATGCATTTTCTTCCACCAGAGAACATTGCGAAACTTCTGGCAGCTTTTGATTCCAGCCTGATGGCTATTTGTTCAAAGTTTCTTCCTGAAGAGAGAAGTGAGGTACTGCTGTGTTTGGATGATGTCCGCCGCAGCAGACGCTGGGGAACAACACTTTGCCTCCTGCTGGAGCTGCTGGAGCTGCTCACCGCATCGAGTGTGATCTATGCAGCTGATGTCTGTCTGCAGAGTCAGAGAATAACTTATACTCACTCCTCAGCCCTCCTGACAATAATCGGCGGCTCTTCGCATTATTTTGTCAAAAAGCGTGCACTGCTGCTACTGAAGAGAGCTGTGCTTCAGAAGTCCGGAGAGGACTGGGCTCTCGGGGAAGGGCTGTACTTTGGGCCGAAAAACAAGCACCTCCTCGCTGATATGAGCACGCTGGCGAAGAGTATGTTAACAGCAGTGGCTACTAATTGGTTGCAAAGGGTTCAAGTGGAGTCTAGCTCTTTCTTTGGGGGGACCAGACATGTCAGAGGAAAGGAAGGCAAAGCAGACTGTGTGATGCTGAGAGCGCTTGGCCTGCTGCTTCTCAAGTCCTTGGAGCTTTATATCCAAACACCTAGCGGAGCAGGTGAGGATTCATGGAATCTTTTGGCAGCAGGCTGAAAATCAAAACTGTGAGCTGTAAGATGCTCAACTGTCAATAGTAAAGGGGAACTACATAGTTACTGATGACTCTTGCTGAGTTACTGTGTACAAAACCGCCTGAATGACTATAACTAATTTTATAAAAATATAGATAAAGCTTTAATTAATTATGACTGTTTTATAACGCTGCTCAATTTGCTTGGAACAAGCTGCAACATGAACATGGTCCCTCTAAAGTACTGTACTAGTGTTTTTAGTTTGTGTCTGTAACTGTGCTGCTGCCTATCTCAGCCAGGACAAAAATATGTTTAATCTCAAGCAACCTTCCTGGTTAAATACAAAAAAAATCACAATACTTAACTCTCATTATAAGCAGAGTGGTTATGCTGATACTTCCTGTGTCCTATCACAGCAGGAGTGAACAGTGCCTTCGAGGTGTGTGGGTATCTGCAGAGTGTGTGGGGCTTCCTGAGGCAGGGCAGTTTGCTGAGGACAGAGGTCACACACTGTTGCTGCTGGCTCAGCCTGCTGTTTGGAGAACAGGACGACGACATGATGGAGGCAGCTAAAGCTTTGTTTTCCATTTTCCTCCATCACAGGTACTACAATTATGCAGATGTAGTGTGTTTTATTTTTACCAACATTAAATGAAAATGTCAGTAGGGGAGTGTGATAAAAACACACCAACACTTTGACACATAACATTTTGGATCATAACCGAGCAAAGGGGATTTTTTTTCTAAATTCAGCTGAAAATAAAAACCTGCATCTTCAAATTCTTGGAAAATGAAAGTAGATGGAACAGATATTCAAAAAAAAGTAAGGTCGCTTTTACAATAAGCTAACTGAATTGTTGTTTCTCCTGCAGGCTGTGTTCTGGACTGGATGACTGTTCTATGTTGAAGGCAGCCTGTGTCTTTGGATGCAACCCTCACTGCCACTTCCTGCTGCTGCTTCAGAGCATCTCCTTCGATCACAGCATACTCCTCGACTTTCTCATCTCCACTGAAACCTGTTTTTTGGAGTACTTTGTGCGGTACCTTAAATACCTTAGAGCTGACTGGCAGGGCTTCACTGCAGCATGTGGAAAAACCAGCTTGTTAGATCACCATCTTTCTCTGCAGCAATCACCTACTGCCTTATGTGGGGGTGATGTGTTAAAGGTGACTAACAGAGATCAAGATCCATATCGATCCAACACCTGTTTTCAGCACACGGGTGCTATTTCATCAGCAGGAATGATCAGTATGGCTGCTGGGTTTCACCTTGTAGAGTATGATAGTTCTGACGAGTCTGATACAGAGGAGATGGAGGTATCTCAGGGTGCACCAGTGGCATCTGTAAGTGAGAAAAGCAGATTCAGTGCTTTGGACATGAAACTACAAAAATTATCGGACTTAACAGGAATACTGATTGAACCTAACACCACACCACACAGAAGAGCAGAAGGGCCTCAAGTGCCGGTGTTCCTGAGTGAGCAAACGTCGTGTCCAAACATGGCACCTGTGTCAGGACATGTGACTTGTGACACATTAGCCAGGGTGGTCCTTTGCATGTCACATCTCAGAGAGGTGGTGAAGAGGCTGCACACAAAGAAGCTCTTCCCATACAACCCTTCTTCACTCTTAAGGCTCCTAGAACAATTATAAAACTTTTTTATTTTGTTTTAAGATTTTATAATACATTCTTTGTTTTCTGAACTAGCTTGTTATCTAAATGGTCCAGTGTGTTTCAACCGGTGCATGCTAGGACTGGCAAGAGGTTTTACTTTCTGGAGGTATTGTTAAAAATGTTTTACCCTGTTTTAGGTTTTAAACACAGGCCCGAAATACACACATACAAACCAGGAACATATGGTTTTTTGATTATCAGATTGATAACTTTGATAATAATTTCTTCTTTGTGAAATGTTTCCAGGAGAAATACTCTTTTAGCAGTACTGGCACAACAATCAATACAAGGATGCAAGTGGATGATATGCAGAAACGGATCAAATAAATAATAAATGGACTGTTTTCATTCAAACCCATTAATCCAATTTTATTTATATAGTCCAATGTTACAATTTAGCTTAAATTAGGGGGCTTAACAATCTTTATTATACAATACCGTATGTCCTCGGACCCTTGCAGAGGATGAGAAAAACAAAAAAACACATATGCACTGTGTGCACACTTATTTGGCAAGTTGTATTTTTGAGGATTATTTTAATTATTGAACAACTACAGTGCTCTCTGTCAATCCGACATGTTTATAAACCTCAAGTCTCAATATTTAAGAAAGTAAAAGTGAGGTTTTGGCTCTCTTTCTTCATGTACTGATGCACTGTTTGCACAATAACTTTGAGCTGCACACATACATGTAAATACATTTAACATTGGGACTCAAATATGTATGTTCATTTAATTAATTTCTTGTTTTAACAGCTACTTACCTGTATATAATTGTATCTTTCATTTTATTAATCTTGTGTGAATCTGTACTGTCATGATTTTTGATGAACTGTGTGCACAATTAATATGCAACTAAAGGAAAAACGAATATTTGCCCGTCTCACTGTACAAATAAACTTTTCTGACATAAAAAAAGACCATATACCAATATAGCCACCCTTCTTTTCAATAACAGTCACAAGCCTTCCATTCATGGGCCGTTTCTCATTTCTGGGATTTCCCCTCCTCGACTCCTATCCTCGAGACTTAGCCCCGCCCACAGGAGATGCGAGCGGAGGACTGAGGAGAGAGGAGGGGAAGCAGCAGGCGGTTAGAGAAATGAGAACTCCTCTCCTCTGAGCGGTCATATTAAAGAGACGTCCATTAATGATGACAGGAGGCACAGCAGCCCTCTGTCTGATGGACAGATGTGTTCATGATGACTTATATATTTACTTTTAATTCATTCACAGTGCGGCAGTGGCGGCTGGTGTAAAATATTTTTGGTGGGGCTATGGAAATAGGGACCAAACCATACTAGGGCGGTCCGGGGGGATTCTCCCCCGGAAGACATTTTTGAGAAATGACCCCTTAAATGATCACTTCTGGTGATGTTAGAATGGGGGGGGGGGGGAGGACAAATTGAGTCTTAAAAATATGAGATAATCCATAATCTTCAGTGTGGTTAGCTATGAATCTTCCAAAACTGTGCAACAGTACAGTAGGCCCACACAAACTGCAGAACACTGGTGCTTTGGGAACACTCAAATGATTTAATTCCCATTTAAAATCAGGAGACTAAATAACATTGTGTGTGTGTGTCATGCTTGCCAACCCTCCCGATTTTCGCGGGAGACTCCCGATTTCATTGCCCTCTCTCAAATCAGATTTACTCACGACTGTTTCCACTCGGATTTTAATACAGCTACACCATTGTTTGGTTTCCATGGTAGCGCGTCTCTTTAGCAGCGCGCGCAACTCAAAGTCTGAGAGGGTGAGGAAGATGAAAACTGAACAAGAATCGACAACTCGACCCTCTGCTCACTCTTTTCCTGTAAAACACAGGTCCAGCCCACACATATGCTCCATGGTGCTACCGGCATTGCCCTTACAGCCAGTGCTTGAATTGGAATGAAAAAGGTGCCAGTACTCTAAAATCAGCAACTTTTTCAAGTCAATTTTATATATACAGCCCACAAACAAGAATTTGGCTACTATAATGCTGGTGGGTTTGTCTCTTTACTACTGTATATTTTAGAAAGGTTCACTGTACTTAACATTTTTTATGATAGGCAGCGGATATGGCTAAAGCTCAGTAAGGTCAATATTAACTGAAAATATAGCAATCAAAGTCTAGATCTTCTGCTGAAGACACATGAAGCAGAGACCTTTCAGGTGAGAGCCCCTCTGGTGGTGTTCAACATTAATGACAAGGAAACAAAGCTCTGGTCAGAAGCATTTTTTATAAAAAGCTTTAACAAAATTAAGTATTTCTGTACATTTTGAATGCAATCTAACTTTCCAACTCAGAAAACGAAAAACGAAAAAGTGCCAAAAGTCTTCTCACATGGCTGAGCTGCTTTGCAATATACTTCACCACTGAAGAATACAAATATGTATAAAGTAAACTATGATGCAATCTAACTTTCCAACTCAGAAAAATGATAAAGAGCATGAACAAAGAACATGTAAAAACAAATGCAAAATTTGCACAATCTAAAATGAGAAACTGTAACTGCAAGTAACAAAGTCTGAGCCATGGTAAAGAGTTACATTGAACACCAAGCTGATCAGATAACTCCCTGGTTGGTCTGAAGTCCTTCTATCTCCAGGATCTGTACAAATCGGCACATTATGCCAAAAGTCTTCTCACTGGGTGAGCTGCTTTGCAATATACTTCACATTGTTAGAAAAGGCTCCAGAAGGCCTTGGGGACATCAGTATCAGGGGCTGGAGCTGGACAGGCTCTTTCATCAGCACTTCTCCTTCCCTTTGCCAGCCAGGACCTCACATACTGTTCCGGATTGAACTGTCCTAGTGATGGTCCATTACATTTAATGAAAACCAGGCTGGACAGTCGGCTGACAGAGAGAGCATTCCTTTTTGCAGTAAGGATATCGTTCATGCAGCTGAATGCCCGCTCACACTCACTAGTGGAGACAGCGATGGTTCGGACTGCTTTCAGTAGAGGCTCCATGGCAGCAGGTGTACGGGATGCCCTGGTTTCCTTGTATTCGCGAAAGCCCTGAACAGTCTCTCTTCTGTCCACTTTCAGCACTTCGCACAAACGTAGCACCTCTACGTCCCCATACTGTACGTCTAACTCCTCTTCAGGCCAACTTCCAGGATGGATAACTTTCATGTCCTGGATTAGCTGATTGTCCCGGGCCTCCCGGCCATGTAATGGGATTTCTCTTGTGCTGACATGAGAGGAGGTTGTGGAAGTCATTCTGTGTCTCAGATTCTCTACCATACTGCGGAAAAACTGACCTGCATGAATCTGTACAAGCCTGCCATTCTCACGCAGGGCAACACCCTTGAAGGACTTCTCAGCTAGAGCTGTATGAACTGTAGTCATGTGTGGGCCAGGCATGGTGACCATGGATTCAAAAACTCGTATTTCTCGAGTTAAGAGCCTATCTGCTGTAGGCAGTGTCATCTCTCTTTTTTGGAGTTGCCGAGAGAGGTCGCTGAGCTCTGTGAGCGCATCGTACATCAGTCCCAGATTGCTGACAAACGTTGCAGATGTGAGCACATCATCCAGGCCCTTGTACTTTGCGCTGTCTCTGGAATCCCTGCTCGTGTCGTTTGCAGCATTTGTGAAGTGATCATGAAGCACTCGGTAGTTTTCCCAGACTGCTCTGACGCTCCTTTCACTTGAAGCCACCCAGCGGATGGACAAAACACGCCCTATCACCAGGAGACGCTGTCCGACTGCTTGCGCACACTGCGCTAACTGCCTCTGATTTTTGGGGGAGGCATGGAACAAGGAATAGAGTTTGTCAAAAAAGATCTGGAAATGATTGAGCCCTGAGACCTCCTTGACCACATCCCCAACTGCCAGCTCTAGACGATGATTGGAGCAGTGCCACACAAACAGGCTTGGGAATTTACTACAGAACTGGGTAGCAACGCCTGTTCTCTTCCCTAGCATGACTGAAGCCCCATCACATGCAAAATAAACGAAACACTGACCTAAAAAGTCCTCGTTAAAATCTCTTCCAAGACACTCCATTAACGCCTTTGTGATGTCATCAGCCGTTGTTCCATCCAACTCGATCAGCTCCCAAAAAAACGTTTCGGGCTCAGCATCAGCTAATGCTGAGCGTAGACACACAACAAGCACCGTTTTACCACTAATAGTGGTAGATTCATCGACCAAAACACAGAGTTTTCTTTGGTTTTCTGTAATGTCTTTTGCCATTTTTTTCTTCAGCTCATGAGCTATGTGGTCGATGATTTCGCCACAGGTTTTATTGGAGTGCAAAACCCTGCCCACGTTCAGCCCATTCAGTTTCTGTACATTCAAATCAATTGGCATGTCTGTGAATGGCCGGCTATGTTTGCCAATTTTATATGCCGTTCGAAAAACTCTGATAGTGGTGTCTAATTCAGATTTATGCATAGACTGCACTTGATGTTGAATAGTTTCATGTGAAGCAGATGTAAGGATGTCAGCAGCTTTTACATGGGCTTGTGATTCTTTATGTTCTTTGATTTGTTTTCTCAGGCTAGCTTGTTGTTTGCCCTTGTCAACACCGAAATGAGACACTGCACACTCACCCCATTCAGTTGACAGTTTCAGTCCTTGTCCAGTGGGTATTCCCAAATATTTGACATCTCTGCATATCCGACATCCTAGCTTCTTATCTTTAAGAAGGAGCCATGCATTGTTCTTGCAAAAATATTGCACCTGGTCCGTTGTCCAGCAGTCAGGTGCATCGCTTTGCCCGGTGTTGGTGGTGGCAGTTGCGCCAGCAGCAGCTAACGTTAGAGGCTCTGGAGGAGGCGGCGGAGCTAATGCTAATGCACTAGAACTTGGAGCAGGAGGATCAACCAAAGAAAGCTCCCCATCAGACACAATTTCCAACACAGGCACAGCATTCTCTGTATTTGAAGTTTCTTCCGGCGACAACCGCTGTCTTTTTGCACTTTTATTAATCCACGTTAATATTTTAGAAATGCTAATTTGTGACGTGACTTGCTTTCCTTCTCTCGGGGGCGTGCCTGCTCTGTTCTATCACTCTACATAGCCACCCACTGGGTGGGAGTTGCACTGCATAAACACAACACACGTGCATCTAGGTATGTAAATTGTAAAGCATTAAAACATGGTTTTACTAACAGTTTTCAGTATGTTGTTACTTCGGCATTATTATTATTATTATTATTATTTTGAAACGTGTATTACTATTAAATCACGGTCAAATAGGTTAATTTTGACATAGTCGTTTCCACCACAGTATTTACATGGAGAAGATAAGCCCCGCCCCCTCTCCAGCACGTTCTGTTTGAATGACAGGAGTAAACAGCTGACAGCCGCTGTGAAACTCCAGCGGTTAGAGCGATGAGAATGTCCGTTCGGCACCTCATGACGCATCTACTGAGTACCGGGCGGCTGTATATATATATATGGATGTATAATAAGAACGGCGGGAGAGTGTTGAGTACTGGCACGGTGCATGAGTACCGGAGTACCGCCAGCATGCCGGTACTGAGCAAGAAGTGCCGGTACTCCATGGGTCAGAACCAGAAGTGCCGGTACTGCGTACCGGTGAGTACCGGCCCAATTCCAGCACTGCTTACAGCTACAATAAGCATGTAAATGTTAATCTACAGCTCCGGCGATCCACTAGCACCGGAGTCTCCAGCAGACGCAGCCATCCTCGACAACTACTGTAGCGTCACCTTGGATACGAGTCTAAACAACTCAGACACACATGTAGGCCAGGGCGCCCTTTGAGCATCAGATCTGACGACGCTGATTGGCTGAAATTATGTTTCGGCGGCATAGTTTACAGATAGCAACAGTCAGCTTGTTGGCTGCTGCTGCTCTGGCTGAGGGCTCCTTTCTACCGCCCGGACGAGAGAGGGTAATGATACACGCTGCGGCCAGGCAGGAAACATGTGACTTATCAGTAACTTTAGACATCGTAAA